AGGACCTTACCTGGTGCTCCTGACAACCCAGACAGCTGTCAAGGTGGACAGGATTTCTACCTAGATCCACGCCTCACACGTGAAGCCAGTACCACCTGGAGACCACAACACAGACAACGGCACCACCTGGAAAGTCCACACTTCTAAGGACAATCCCTTACAGTTAAAAATCACCCGNATTGTCACGTAGGAGTGGTCTCACAAGAAGGGGTGTGGGGCTTCAGGCTCCCAACACAAAAAGATAGACACTGTTGAAAGAAATTAAGGAAGATTTGAATAAATGAAAGAATAACATTGTTAAGAGGGAAATACTCACCAAATTGATCTACAAATTCTGTAAACAGTCTTGAACAAAAAAAAAGTTAAAGTACTCACATTTCCCTATTTCAAAATTTACTACAGAGCTACAGTATCAAGACTATGAGTTACTGACAAAAGGATAGGCATATATATCAATGAAAAAGAATTTACAGCCTGGAAATAAACCAATACATCCTGGCCATTTTATTTTAGACAAAGCTGCCAAAGCAGTTCAAAGATGAATAAGCATTCTTTTCAACAGAAGAGTGAATAAGGAATACTGAAACAAGTAGATATCCACTCACAAGAAAAAAATCGAGTTAGAAATTATATCACACCATTTACCAAAATGAACAAAGAAATGGAAAAAAGAATTTAGTATAAAAAATAAAATTATAAACTTTTAGAAAGAAATATAACTGTAAGTCTTTGTGACCTTGGGCTAAGGAAGCCCTCCTAGATAGTCACCAAAAGCATAAGCAACCAAACAAACAAACAGAATATAAATTCAATGTTCTTTAAAATAAACCACCCAAAATGTGAGAAAGAAAACCTATGAAATTGGAGAAAATATTTGTAAATTATGAATCTAAAAAGGAATTTTTTTCCAGTACATACAAACTTTTGCAATCCAACAATAAGAAGACAAACAATCCAATTTTAAATGGACAAAATATTTAAATTGACATTTTTCCAGAGAATATATACATAAAGCCAACAAGAACATGAGAACATGCTCAATAGCATTGCTCATTAGGGAAATACAAATCAAAACATTAATGAGATACCATTTACACCCACAAGAATGGCTATTAGGCAAAAATGGGGGGGCAAGTATTGGTGAGGATATGGAGAAACTGGAAATCTCATACATTTCTAATGAGAACATAAAATGGATCAGCCACTGTGTAAAACTGGTTGGCAGCTTCTAAAACTGCCAAACGTCGAGTTACCATATGACCAAACACATCTACAGCTAGGTATATATTAAAAAGAATTCAAAACTTGTTTGTACACAAAAACTCGTTCAAAATGTCCATAGCAGTACTATTCACAATAGACAAAAAGAAGAAACAACTTAAAGGCCCTTCTCCTGAAAAATGGACAATCAAAAAGTGGAAAATTCATATGATGGAATATTATGCAGCCATAAAAAGGAATGAAGTCCTGACACATGCTACAACATGGATGATCCTTAAAAAACATTATGAAAGTGAAAGAGACCAATCAAAAAAGGTTAACTATTGCATGATTTACATTTATATGAAATGTCGAGAAGAGACAAATCCACAGAAACAGAAAGTAGATTAGTTGTCAGTGTCTAGGTGTAAGGGTTTATAGGGAGTGATTCCTAATGAATACATTTGGGGGTGATAAAAAATTCCTGATTAAAATAGTATTGATGGTTGCACAACTCTATGACTATAATTAGAAACACTGGATATAGGTTGGCCAGTTAGCTGAACTGGTTAGAGTGTGGTGTTATACCACCAAGGCCAAGGGTTCAGATCACCATACCAGCCAGCTACCATTAAAAAAATAAAAAAGGATACAACACATTAAAAATGTGAATTTCATGATTTGTAAATTATGTCGAAATAATGCTATTTTCTAACAAAATGTAGAAGAGATAAAGAGGGGCAGCCAAGGAATCTAAAAATGACTAGCCAATGTGGTAGTATGGTTTTCAGGAAGACAAGAGAAAAAATTATTTAAGGAAGAGGAAATGATCAAAAGTATCAAATGCTGCTGATGGTTTGAATAAGATAAGATGTGAGGAAATTGGATAAACCAGTATGGAATGTGCAAGCATTTTTGTGAAGTGATAGTGATAAAAATTTGATTGTAATATGCTTGAAAATGAATCTGAAGAAAGTATATATAGTAATCATAAAAAAATTGTTTAGAAGAGATTTTTTCAGACTAAAATAAATAAAAAGTCCAATAAGTGAAATCATACAATGTGTGACATTTTGTATATGGCTTCTTTCATTTAGCATTATTTTTTGATGTCCAGCCTCATTTTAGCATGTATCAATACTTCTTTTATATTGTTGAATGATATTCTATTGTATGAATATACCACATTTTGTTTATCAACTACTTATCTTTTCAAAACTGGGCTGTTTACACATTGTGGCTATTGCAAATAGTGCTGCTATGAATATGTGTGTACCTGTACATATTTGGATACTTGTTTTTTATTACTTTAGGTATATACCTACATGCAAATTGCAGGAGAACAAGTGTGAAATTTTGAAAAGGAAAGCAGTATCTAAAGGGCAACATAAACATGTTTAATGATGGTGATATTTAAGTTAATCAAATACATATGGATTGCATTTTTAATTAAAGTTTTAATGTACTCTCTCTAAGCTTCATATTTTGGTTTGTATTTGCATTGTGCTTTTATTAATTTGTTGTTTTGTAGACTTCAAAAATATTTGTAGAAATTCAAATTGATACACCTGTTAAATAGGTGTTTTTCATTGGAACCATTAACATTTTTCTAACCCATGTGAAAATTTTGTTTTTTGATAAAGTTTTTTAAATTGTAATCTATAATGCAAATTATTTGTAGATCATTTGAAAAATAGAAAAAATAACTATGAAAAAGAAATAAAAAACAATCTCTAAATTCTTTACCCTGAGACAAGCATTGATATTATTTTGATTTATTTACAACTATGTTTTTCTTTGTAAATATATTTTATAAATAATAAATTTGAGAAAGTGGTATATGCACAATTTTAAAATATTGATTATTTTTTAGAAAAACCTCATATCTGTAGTACTTTTCAACCCAATCGAACAGTCTCATTATTTATTTCTATTTCCCTGAATTGCTGCTATATTAGGTTGAGCCATAAGTAATTACCCTTATTGTTGGTCAAAATGGTTGTATATTAGCAGTTTTGTGTACTGAAGCCTAATACATGTAATTTGTTTTTTGCTTTGTTTTGTTTTTAATATTTATATTTTCCTTCTTTCTTTTTTTATTATACATACATGTCAGGTACAACATTGATTTTCAATAACTGTGTAGAATGTGTTGTGGTTAGATCAGTACAGTTTGCTTATTCATCATTGCAATAGGCAATCATTCTTTGTGTCTATTGACCAATTCCTCATTAACTTCCCACTCTCCCTCTCCCTCTCCCCTCCCTTTCTAGTTTTCTAAAAGTTCAACGTATTACTGTGATTCCTGTTTATTTCTTTTGTCTGTCTCTCTTTATTGTTCATTTGTTTATTTACGGATTCAGCTCACAGCTATGAGTGAGAACATGCAGTATTTCTCTTTCTGTACCTGGGTTGTTTCACTTAGGATAATTTTCTCCAGGCTCATCCATGTTGTTTCAAATGGTAGAATTTCATTCTTTGTTATGTCTGAGTAGTATACCATTGTGTAAATATACCACAATTTCCTTATCCTGTCATCTTGAAAACTTCTAACCTGCGCTATCTGCTTTTGTAAACGGACTTGCTCTAACTTAGCAACAGTGAAGCCATCTTAAAAGCTGTTACAGCAAGACACACCTTGCCCGCACCCCCCCCCCCCCCC